CGGGATATTGTAAATGCTGAGTTATACTGCAGTAGACTCGCCTGTGCAAAACAGGGTGCCTTCAGTAGAAACCAGGAGGGATGGTGACAGTGCTGTTATCTCTCTCTCTCTCTCCATCAGAGAGTTAGGCGTTTCTCGATTCTCCTTTCTTTGGAATTTTTGTGGATAATGGAAATTAAATTGTCATGAGAGATTCTACGAAAGCAAACATATTATGGCTGATGGGCTTGCGTGTTGGTCGTGACTCGGGTTCATGAGCACGGCATATTCATCGGCAATTAATGTGCCTCATTAACGAACCGAACGGGCTGTGTTCTCGATTGTTTTGTATTTTTGGAGACGCCTCCGCCATGATTTTCCCATAAGGTACGTCTCTGCATATTTAAAATGGTACCGTGGCGGAAAACCAAGTCGCGACGGTAAGCACATGCAGTCTAACCGAACAATGATGATTATCCTGTTGAACATACACCATACCACACCGATTTTGAAAGCTGACAAGTCGATTTTAAAACGTCTTTTCACCTAATACACACTACCTCTGAAGTACTGTCATGTTTAAAAGCAAATTTTGATAGACTCTCAGCTCAGCTCATCACGACCAATGAAACAAGTAACGCTTCAGCCCTATTTGGGTGTACGAACGATGGTAGTAAGCTTCCTTCCCTCTGCTTTCATACATCCCCTTCTGGCCATAAGCTCTCAAGATCTATTGTGGTGCGTTAAAAAGCGACATTTTATTCCAATAGACTCAACTTCATCTTTGCGACAGGCTCATGATAAACCGTTTGTGAGGGGAATCAACTTGGATGCAAAGAATCCCAATCCTGCTAATTGGGTATCGTATCCGAACGCCAAAGGGGGTAAGAGCAGTCAGTTCAGAATCCCAAGCCATCAGCATGGGTTCGTGAAACCAACTTTTGAAGCAAACTTATCAGTCCGCCATACTGCCTCGTACTGCGGTCTGAGGACAGGTTGTATTATTTTTAGTCGATCATTTCATTTAACTCAGGGTGAGATCTCGCTGCTACTGCCAATGAAGTAAGTAGTACTCCATATTCGCACCCGGTTTTCCTCCCTTTTCCGTGCCTTATATTGGGACGGCGCATTACGGCTTCAAAGGAAGCTCCAATGGTCTGAATCGAAGTCCATTTCACACAGATACCGCGCTTGACGACCTCCCTTAAGGTGTGCGCATACACCAGCCCCGTGTTTCGTGATTCACCAGGCTCAAAATTGACAGAGATGATAACAAGTTGAAACGTGAATTAGTGTGCACCTGTAGCAGTTCACACCAGCCCCTCGTCACCGCTTTTGAGCAATCAGATTTTAAAAGTGTTTCGCCTAGAGAGAAAATGCATGCTGTGGGAGCACTGGTGGAAAGATAGACGTTCCATCGAGTAACGTGTGCTTTCTGCGTACCGAGGCAAGTGCAACCAAAACGTGACTATTATTATTCAGATTCTAGATTTGTAACACCGTTTCCTCGACGCATGAATTGTCATCTATCAAGTGGCAGCCCACGTACGTCGATCTACCGTTGCGTAAGTCTCTCCATAGGGTGATGTGTTCCACTCCCTCCGACCCTGAATTGCAGTTAAGAGATCGCATCGGAGTGAAGTAGGAAATAAGAAGGGAATGAGAAGGTCATATTTACACGATGCAACAGAACATCAAGGCGGGCTAGAGCATGAGCTCCATTTGAGCCTCCTGATGATGAGAGGGAAGGATTCCATTGTAGTGACTCATGCGTCTAGTCTTCTCCGACCGACGACTTCGCCAAGTGAAGACGCAAACACCGATAATGATGCAGATCAGGAGGAAGGCCGCTATCTCGATTGCTGTCTGCTCTCCACTCGTCAGTATGGGAGGCTGCGGCCCTGTAAAAAACCACCAAGTTATCAGTTGTTAATCTTACCGTGATAACACTGTTCCAGTACATCGAGTCTGTCAGACTACATACTCATTAATTCACTTTCATGGCATGGGTCCATCTAGACCTCCAATATTCAATTTAGGGATTTTGAATCGTTTATAAGACTTCCTTCAACATAATCGGTTTGGGTACTGGTAAGCGAAGGACAGCTTGAATCCCGGACGATTCAGATTTGAGAGACAGTGATCAGGAATACAGCAGCAATACCCTTTACTTTCATCTTGAAAGCGAACTTCGATATTGAGAAATGCTAAACATTCACACACCTATCACTCTGATGGTCACATCGTTGACCATGTAAAGTAGGACGGGGGCTTTGTGTGTGCACGCCGTGTAATTTCATGGCATGATGGTGAAGACGCGTGTTGCTACGGCTCCTAGGTCCACAAAATGCATACGTATGCAGGTGAGGGTGTGGGGGGAGGCGAGGAGCAGAGGCCTACAAGCGGTAGTGACAGGACGTGGTGGTCAGGTGAAGTGGTGATGGCTGCAGGCATGACGGGGAATGAAAGGGGGAGGGGGGAAGGAGGATGTGGGGTAGGCAGTGTGAGCAAAAGCGGTGTAGCTAAACCCCAGCTGCGCACGCTGCACACACCAGTCAAGATGGGTTTTAACATGCTCATGCATGAGGACAATGGATGGCCTGATTCACTTTGTCGTCGTATCCGCCATCATCAGCACACCCTCGTATACGTGGGGTGTCCTGTTCTGCTTGCTCCGGTCATGTAAAGGTGTTGCCACTAGCATGGCATTCACTACGGCGCCACCACTTGTACTTTGCTAAATTGAATGTGGGGTTGAAAGCAGAAATGATGGAATTTGTCCAAGCAAAATAATGTAAAGTTTATGCAGTGAGGGGAAAGGGCTTAAAAGTTTCGTTGTTGTAAAGTAAATTCCGAAATCTGCGTAAAGTACTCATCAAAATGTGAAGCCATTCGGCAACCAAAAAATTCAGTTAAAACGTCATGCACTCATTGATGGCGCCACAGTAAGATTTGAATCCGTAATTAGCGGTTGTGCGTAGCATCACTCAACTCCTGAAAGAAGGGGTTTGGCCATATCTGAATAGTCACCTTGAGGCGATGGAGTTTCACAGGGTAATACTACCCCAGGATTTAAACCATTACGTAGGACATCGTGCGGTTGCAGATGCGGTTAGCGATTATTCTACCCCATTGAGTCAGAGCCCATAAATAAGGTGACAGATGGTCGTAAACAATTCAAAAAAAAATGCCAGTGATTATGCGCAACACCGTAAGCAAAAAATGTAGGTAAACACCAACTTACCATCACAAAGCACGTATGTGCATGCAGTTGTAGAACTGCCATTGTAGAAGCCATCGAAACAGGAATATCTGCTGACGACAGGCATGCGTTCCATTCCTTCGGTTGAACAATAAACAATATTCAGACCAACTAATGATAGCTTTAGATCGACAGGCGTTGAGGGATCAGGATCTCTCTTCAGGACTTGTGATTGCTCCATCGAGCAGACTATTAACGCTCGACTTTTAGCTGAGCTCAATCCTTCAGGACAATAGCGAGTCTCCGGAGGATACACTTTGGG